TGACCAGAGACAGAGGTAGGCCTGGTGGAATTTTCTTCTACCAGCAGGAACCTCCTTCTCATTGACCAGTCCAGGCTGTTCAGATAGGTTCAAAACCAAACCTGAGTGTGTTGACCTAAAGTTATGGGTCTGTCAGCTATTTCTGTGATGAACACCATAATAAAAAGCAACTTGGGAAGGAAAGGGTTTATTTCATCTTATACTTCCAGATAACACCCATTACGAGGGAAGTCATGACAGGAACTCAAGCAGGGCAGGAAGCCATGGAGCAGTGCCGGCTTCCTCCCCACAGCTCTCTCAGCCTGTGCTCTTATATACCTCAGGGCCATCTTCCCAGGGTGCCATTGCCTGCAGTGATCTGGACCCACCCACATCAACCATTAATCAAGACAATGCCCCACAGAGCTGCCTACCTGTAGATCTTAAGGTGGAGGGTGTTTCTCAATTGAGAATCCCTCTTTGCAAATGACTCTAGCTTGGGCAAGAAACCCAAAACACTTAAACACACTTAAAAAAATCCCATGGATTTTGATTTCTGAATACCCCTTCTACTTTGTGAAGAATATATATATATATATATATATATATATATATATCCTCTCTCTCTGTCTCACACACACACACAGACAGACACACTCACATACACAATGGCTTTTTAACATTTTTGGTTGTTCCTGTGTATCTGATAATTTTTTTTGCTGCCTTTTAATTCTTTAATTAGTGAGAAAAATGAATCCAACTAAGACCCCTAGATGGTAATAGAAGGGTTGTATGCAAGCTCGGAGTGGGGGAAAAAGTGACAACAATGACACTGAGGATTTTAGCTTAAGCAGCTGAAACGATGGCATGGCTGAAGACTACTGAGGATGGGTGTGCTAGATCTGGCATACCCATCAAACATTCAAATGGGGCCCCAAGCCGTTAACCAACTGGAAGGATGAGCCTGGAGTTCTGGGTTGTTGCATCTGCTAATGCAAAAACACAGCTCTCACCTCAAAGGGGACAAGAGAGTTTATTCTAGAGATAAATATAAATGACCATGACCTGGAAACACAGATTTAAGGTTACTCCAAATATCATGTCCCAACATGGAAGCAGTTTCATGAAGTTTTTGTAGTAACAGAACAAAGAAAGTCGTAACTCAAGGCACTTTGAAACAAACTGGTGGAAACAGGGGGTGAGAGTTACAGGAATGTGGAGAAACCTCACCTGCAGGCCTCAGAGCCATTGAAGACTCTTGGATTTTTGGTTGTTGAAAATATGATTTTGTTAAATTAACATATCCCAAAACATTTTACCTATTAGTCACAAGATGTTACTCTGACAGAGGTGGGCAGAGGAGTCATGTGGGATTTCCTGATGTGGGAGTGTCATATATCAATCTGTTGATTTCATTGGTTAAGTTATAATAAACCAGCTGCTTGGCCTCATGGCTTGGAACATAGATGGGAGGAGTAAACAGAATAGAATTCTGGGCGGAAGAGGAAGTGAGGTCAGACTCTGCTTTGCTCCCAGAGAGACCCGACAGCTCTGCTGGAGCAGAGACGCCATGCTCAGCTCTCCCGGGTAGACGCGATAGCTCTGCTCTCTGAGGCACACGAGATGAAGATGGATGTAGGCTAGAATCTTCCCTGTAAGCGCACCTTGGGGTGCTTACACACATCATTAGAAATGAGCTAGTCCAGGTGCAAGAATTAGCCTGTAAGGGTTAGAGTTCATGGGCCAAGCAGTTCTTTAAATGAACACAGTTTGTGTGTTGTTGTTTCGGGCATGAGCTAGCCAAGCGGCCGGGGTGTTGGGGACGCAGCCCCGCCGCTCATATTTCAACAATTTCCCTCTGTGTGCTATGACTACCATTGGTGAATAAACAAACTGCCTTGGCCTGTTGATTGGGCAGAACTTAGGTAGGTGGGGAAGACAGAACTAAATGCTGTAACACCCGGTTTTGGTGTTACACCCTCGGTACAGTTCGCGCGCAGCTGTACCGAATGCGAGTCCGGGCAAGGGCCTGGAGATTGAACACAAGAGACAGAGACCAGGGTCATTCGATAGGAGATCAAGCGAATGCCGTTTATTCAGACTTGGGGAAGCCCTTTTCTACCTAACTGCAGCACAAAGATCTCTCCGCCCAGGAAGGTGGGAAATTACCATATTAACAATGGAGAAGATTGCCTGCAGCTAAATCACCAGGTGGGGCAGAGATAGCACGAAACACACAGGAAGCTTAGTTAACAAATAACAAACTGTCCCCGCCAATGCACCCCAGGAATAAGGGAGACCAGGGCCCTACAAAATGCTGAGAGAAAGGAGGCAGAGTCAGAGAGAAGCCATGTAGCCCCACCAAAGACAGATGCCAGAACTTCAGCCAGTATTCCACAGCCACATGGCAATACACAGATTGATGGAGATGGGTTAAATTAAGATATAAGTGATTTAAGTGTTAGCCAATATGGAGCTAGAGCTAAGGGGCCAAGCAGTGTTTTAAATAATATGGTTTCTGTGGGTTTATTTCCGGTCTGAGCTATGGAGTAGTTGGGAACAAACAAATGGCTCCTTACAACAGAGGAATAGTTATTTAGGGGGCTGACGATATTCCCCAAAATGTTATAACTGGGCTCTGGACCTGCAACATTGCCAGCTCTCCACAACTATTGAAACCCACATATCTGACCAGCCTTACAGCAGGTGCAATGGAAGGTGTAACTTCTTTGTGGGAACTTGCATTTACAGACACAGGATCTGAAGGGACTCTATCCAGCTCGAGCATGGCAAACATGGCTCTGACAGGCCTACCCTTCTCCCCCATCCCCTCTGCCTTGCAAAAAAAAAAACCTGTGGGATTATATTCTGAGAGCTAGACCCCAAGGTTTATTCAGAAGGGGAACACCCCACTGCAGGTATAATTTTTCTTTCTTCCTCCCCCCCCCCTCAGTTTGTCGAGGCAGGATTTCTCTGTGAAGTTTTGGAGCCTCTCCTGGAGCTAGCTCTTGTAGACCAGGCTGGCCTCAAACTCACAGAAATCCACCTGCCTCTGCCTCCTGAGTGCTGGGATTAAAGGCGTGCGCCACCACCATCTGGTTGCAGGTGTAACTTTTAAGAGGCAAGGAAGGGGAGGTCTGTGCTAGAATGAGCTAGGATGTGGTGGTAAAGGAGATAAGGGACAGGGAGAAGGGGAAGGGGACAAGGGAAAGGGGGAGAGGGACAAAGGTCTGTCTCTGCAAAGAGAGGAGACAGACATGGCACATAGGCAAATGGAGATTTATAAACGTAAAGGGTAAATCCTGTGTTAGGATGAGTGTTTAACTTTAATTAGGCATGTTAATTAGGTGGACCAAAAGGGGCTTCTGATTGCTGGACTTTCGTAGTCAGCCTCAGGAGGAAGAAGTGGCCAAATAAGGGAAGAGACCTTGGTGACTAGCTTTAGGATGTAGTGTAATGGTTTTAGCAAAGCAGAGGAAATTGGGGAGAAAACAAGGCCGCCCAGAGCCACAAGTTCCAGTGGGCTAGTGTCCCTTCATATTCCTTATTTGGCTGCTTCCACCTCCTGAGGCAGACTACCAAAGTCCAGCTGTTAAAGTATTGAAGTCCAGCAATCAAAGGCCAGCTTTGGCACATCTAATTAAAATGCCCAATCAAAATTAAATACCTCATCCTAACATGGGGTTTTCCCCTTTACCTTTATAAACTGCCATTTTCCTGTGGGCACATCTGTCTCCCCTCTATCCAGAGGCAGTCCTTCCTTCCCCTACAGAACAAATACCCCTTTCCCCTTTTCCCTCTCCCTCTGTTCCCTTCTCCTTCTCCTTTGTCTTTGTCTCTTATTGCCTGCTCTCTGTCCCTCTGGGGCAAATCAATCTCTTTTGTGCTGAGAATTTGGTCTTGGGGATCCTGAGCCCATAGGACCCTTACAGGATCCAAGTGAGGTTGCCAGTGAGGGAGTCTGCAGCACATGGATGAGTCTGACATCTTTACTACGTGGGAAGGACTCCTCAGGGGAGGAGGTAAACAGCGCCTTTCCAAACTAGGCTGTCACTCACAGCGTGAACTTGAACAAACTTCCTTTCCAGGCTGAGGTTCCTGCCTAGTAAGTTGTATGTGTTGGTTTCCTTCTGAAAGGAGGGGCTCATGCAAAACCACATCGCTCAATTCAAAGACCTAACAGTTTACCCTGGAGTCAAACATGAGTGACCATGGCCCAAGGAACACCAATTTAGAATACCCAAATTCCACAGTCCAACCTGCAACTAGTTTCCTGAAGGTTTTGCAATACCAGAACAAAGAATTTCATACATCAAGACAGTGTGTGTGTGTGTGTGTGTGTGTGTGTGTGTGTGTGTGTGTGTGTGAAAGAAAGGGTTTATTAGGCTGACGCTTCCACATTGTTGTTCATCACTGAAGGAAGTCAGGGACAGGAACTCAAATAGGGCAGTCTCTTGGAGTTAAGAGCTGATATGGGGGAGGAGGAGCTGGAGGAGTTATGATTATTGGATTGCTTCCCATGACTTGCTCAGTCTGCTTTCTTAAAAATCCCAGGACCACCAGCCCAGGTATGGCACCACCAGCCATGAGCTGGCCCCTCCCACATTGATTACTAATTGAGAAAATGCTTTCCCTATAGATAAATCTCATGGAGGCATTTCCTTAACTGACACTCTTCCCTCTCTGATGACTCTAGCTCGTGTCAAGTTGACATACAAAACCAGACATTAGAACTGTCTTCCTGGCCTACTTCATATCTTGAAGTGATGCATGAAGACACTTTTAAAGACATCTGTGGAAAACCTCAGAGAAATAGCTTACAGCCCAAGATAGACATCTCAGTTGTAGATCTTATCCGATAGCATTCTTAGCCTTCTGACTGGAGAAAGGGATTTTATGTAATACATTCCAAAGGTGTTTTATCTGTCAGGACGTAACCCATTCGTCCACAGAGGTGGGGGAGGTACGGACGTGTAAGGGGCTAAACGCAGCCCAAGATAAACAGGAATTATGCTCTGGACCTGCAACATCCCAATCTGCCTTCATCACTGCAGCGTTAATCTGTCAATCAGCCACTGCAGACAGTGTCTTCCAGAAATTCTCGACTTTAACACCTTAGGCTGACGTTATTTCTTTATACTAGATATTCGGTACTGAGAATGCAATTTATAAGTTGGACAGGCTGGGCTGGGAAAAAAAAATTAGCAAATGCCAGGTTCTGTGTGGGTCGACTGGACTACAAAGAGAGCAGATGACAGGCCTGGCGATCGGTCCTGGAGTCTGCCTTCCGAGTAGAGGAGAGGAATACCAAAAAAAAAAAAAAAAAAAAAAAAAAAAAAAAGAGGACCACCGGAAGAATCGGCACAACTCGGAGGTGCGGGCCGAGGACCATAGAGGGTCTTTCCGCCTCTTCCTAGAGCGGCCGGCAGTTCCGCAAACAGCCCGCACTTCCGGCGAGCGAGGCGCGAGGAGAGCACAGTGGCGGCCTGCGCGGTGAGTGCGCCCCGGGCTGCGGGTCGACCTGGCCGGGTGTCGGGTGGGACTGCGCTGGCCAGGGAGCCGAACCCGAGCGGCCAGGGCGAGCGTCCTCGGCCTGGGCGCCTCCGCTTGTCGCGGAGAAGGACGCCTTTGTAGGAATGCTTAGGCTGCACCGGGCCATTGTGAGCGACTTACTGGGAGCCGGTGGACGCTTTGTTGCTCTCGTAAATGGGTGAGGAAGCAGGTGCACGCCGACAAGACGGGTTCCCGGCACCGGGGCTCCATCCCCCCCTCCCCCCAGCTTTACCGAGCCTCTCTTCTACTGAGGAACTCAGAACACCGGACTTGGTGTTGGAGGAGGGGGGCGATGGGCCCCCAGTTCTGGCCAGTGAGAAATCGGGCCCCGGAGGCGGCTGGTTCCTGGGTTGGGATGGGCGTGCTAACTAGCTTTGTGTCTTTGTTTACAAACCCACACACGGAGATGATGGCATAAAACTGAATAAAACCCTTAAAAATAAAATACCGCACATAGGCAGCCTGCAAGTATGATTGCTTCATCCATAGGTAGATTTCATAATCCATCAGTATCCAATCAGTTGTGGCTTCCTCGGTATTTAAAACGATGTGCTTAAAAATGTATGATTACCATTATAACTATTAATTGAGTACCATGTACCCCACGCAGTGTCTGCTGTGTATTAGGTGGTCTGTCATAACTGAGACAGTTAACAGGCAGTGGTTGCTCTTGCTTCCTATAAGTACAGCAGATAAAATTATTAAACACCCAGAAAAAGTCCTGAGCACTGCTAACGCTTGCAGAGGTATTATACGACAAAATGAAGAGGAGGAAAAAAAATGTCATTTGTGTTTTTATTTACTTAGTTTATATGCTCATATGCAAGGAAACTCAGGACAATTCCTGACTTGCAAGTAGGCTTTCTAACCCAAGACACCCATAAAGGTTTTTCTTTTTTCTTTTTAGATTAACAGTTGTTTTATTGAAGTACATTCCACAATCTTTTATCATAATAATTTACCCTTTTTCCCATAATTTCTATACCATATCCCCTTTCTTTTTAGAAAGAGATGGAATACAACCACTCTTAAATGAAAACAAACATTTATAAACAGTGTTTTGGGAATTTGGGCATAGTTCTCTAGGCTACTATCTGCTGACTGGGGACACTGGTAATCTTATGGGGACCCTGAGAAAATTCGAGATAATAACCAAGTCCTGGGAAAACCAGTTACAACCTTTGTTGATGGATATCACCTGTCAAGGTTCCGGAAGCCTTCCTCCATAACGGTTTTTCTGTGCTGCTCTCTTTCCTCCTATATTATCACCTGTGTGTGTGTGTGTGTGTGTGTGTGTGTGTGTCTGTGTGTGTATGTGTGTGTGTGTGCGTGTGTGTGTGTGTGTGTGTCTGTGTGTGTGTGTCTGTGTGTGTGTGTATGTGTGTGTGTATGTGTGTGTGTGTATGTGTGTGTGTGTGTGTGTATGGAGAGGGTTTTTTTTTTTGACATTTTAAACAACTTCCAGACAACCTTCAATATAAACAAATAAAATTAATTTAAAGCTTAGAATTGTGCCTTCTTTGTTGGCTCAGCACAGTCTTGGGAAGGAAGACTAAAGCATTCCTTCAGATTTTTCTCACCTGGTACTTCTAATTCTTTTTACAGAGTAGCTTCCATCTTCAACACAATTTGCTAGGTTATGATCAACAGAAATAGCCAAGCAAGTAAGAATAGATAGGAATCTCTGGTGGAGTAGTGTAATCTTTCATTTCTTTCAAAATTGAGCGTCTTAGGTAGCTGCTATTAAATGAGAAATGTAGCAGTCCACACTGAAGTGAAATACTCTGTGGCAGAAAGTTTGGTCTTTTGCAGTTATTTTTCTATTCCCACTGAAACTGTATCTTGTTTTTACTTTTCGGTCCTTCAAAATACTCTCTGTTGCTGCTCCCTAACACGTTTATGTTTCTCTTCACCCTTTCTTTTGCCTGCCCAAGCATAGTAAAATTGCAAATTGATGGTGATAATACTGAGTTTAACTTGTGGAGTTAGAGTTAACTGGCATGTATTTGCGCCTTAAAGTGGCATTTGTTTTGTTTTAGGTGTGCTTTGATTTAAATTTGGATGCAATTTTGGTAGACTGAAGAGGTGTGTTAAGGTTGAGTAACACTTGATCTGTGTTTTTTCTTTTTCTTCTATATACAGAAAATTTTGAGTTCCGTTCCTCTAGGCTATAAGACCTTAGTTCAGAAGACAGTAGAATCTCTCGACAATACATTTGCTTATTCACCATGAGGTTAGCAAAGCCTAAAGGGGCTATTTCTCGAAGCTCAAACCAAGGCAAAACCTACGAGACCAAGCGTAAGACAGGCCGCCAGCGGCAGAAATGGGGGATGACCATTCGATTCGACTCCGGCTTAAGTCGGCGGAGAAGGAATGTGGACGAGAAGCCCTACAAATGTAATAGATGTTCAAAGAGTTTCGGTCAGAGCTCCACTCTTTTTCAGCACCAGAAGATCCATACAGGGAAGAAGTCCCATAAATGTGCTGATTGTGGGAAGAGTTTCTTCCAGAGCTCGAACCTCATTCAGCACCGGCGCATCCACACTGGGGAAAAGCCCTATAAGTGTGATGAGTGTGGAGAGAGGTTTAAGCAGAGCTCCAATCTCATTCAGCACCAGAGGGTTCACACTGGAGAGAAGCCCTACTGCTGTGACGAGTGTGGCCGCTGCTTCAGCCAGAGCTCGCACCTCATTCAGCACCAGAGAACCCACACCGGGGAGAAGCCCTACCAGTGCGAGGAGTGTGACAAGTGCTTCAGCCAGAGCTCTCACCTGCGGCAGCACATGAAGGTGCACAAAGACAAGAAGCCACGCAAGAGGGGCAAGAACGCCAAGGCCAAAGCTCACCCGGTGTCCTGGAAAGCTGGTAAAGGGAGGAAGGCAGTGGCCGGGCTCCGCCAGGTGAAGGGTACTGCTTCGGGCCTTTTTAAAAAGAAAAAGTGAAAGACAGGCAAATATGCTCTCTTAAGAGCGAGGCTGCTTTATAGTAGAGCACTTAGATTTCGGATCCTTCCCTAGCATGGAGACACCAGGAGTCTCGTGACATTGGGCTAAAACTCAGTCCGGCTGCCCTCACTCCTTTAGAAAAATAATGCATTCGTGTGACATGGAGCACAAAGAACTGAAAAAAATGTTTGGTGAGGATATAATATCCTTGGCCTCAGTTGAAATTTCTCCCCTGTTTTGATAAAAAGCATCAGGTTTTCATGATTCACAGGTGTGCCAATGATTACTCTGATTTTAGGAATTTCTGTAGATGCAATCATTAAAGAAAAAGGAATGAATTCTCACGTTCTGGGACAGACTATATTTTATGTTTTTTTTTTTTTTTTTAGTGTTCTGTAGTTTATTAACTTTAGTTCAAGTGTTGACTCGGCATTTGACATAAAATGTGTTAAGTTGTAGATGGTTTTCTTTTTTGTTAGTATGTATTAAATGAGTTTCATTTTCTCTATTGTGTATGATAAGCTATGTGATGTACTTTGCTCGTATCCAGCCTTCTTACCCTCATCTCCACCTCCCAGATGGCTCCCTCCACTTAAATGTTTACCCTAGGTTCTGTAAGGAGAGAAGATGTATTTGGTTATTGTCTTGAGTCTGGCTTACTTTGCTTAACGTAATGATCTCCAGTTCTTCCCATTTTTCTTCACACATGATTTTGTTGTTTTTGGATAAATCATAGTTTATTGTAGCATTCGAAGGCTTTAATGTCAGCCCATTTAGTTTGTTTCCTTCTACTGTGTGATTAAAGGGATTAAAAGGTCCCCATGTAGCTTTTTTTAAAATTTTTGTTTTGTTTATTTTGCTTACCATTTTCTTAGAGATTCTAAGGAACCCAAATGAGAGAGCACAGACTTCCTGTCCCTGACACCATTTGCGATCGTGTCATTGCCGTGGCACTTGCTTTCTTGAACTTGGATTGGGTTTACATTGAATCATGCCAGTGGCCTCTTGGTGTGCTCTTGTTCTCTTCCACACAGCGCCTGCATGAATAAACTGTATTTTACCAAGAAGGCCTCAGTTGCTCCTGCCTGAAGAACTGCAATGTCATAGACTGTGCTTTGAATATCTCTGACTGTCTGAAACAGATATTTGTCCACGAGTTTGTCCAGCACACTGAAGCCCTGTTAGAATTTACCTGTTTTACTTCATAGCACTGTTTAAGACTCACATATATCAGTCTTCCATCAGAACAATACCAAACTGCATTCCCGACCAGCCTTGAGTTTGAAGTTTTGTTTATTGAATGCTAATTTTTTTCTGATTTTTATAATATCAGTTCTTCCTGTATTAATGACAGTTATCCTTAAAAATAAAAAATGAGATATTTTTGCATACTGCTATTTTCGATTTTCCTTGGGCGAAATTGTTTCCAGTGAGTTTGAAACAAATCACAGCTTGTAGGAGACTCTTCTTTTTCTGCTTTTTTTGATTTCCTCAGATCTGATGTCACCTCCCTCCTGCCCCTGTGCATGTACATGGAGAGCCATTGCATGTGGCCTGTTGACAGTAGTTACCTCCAACATGATATCCAAAATGTCCTGTAAGTGTAAGGCTGTTGCACTCATCCTTGACATCCTGTTACGGCCAGATCACTATACCAGGGGCACACATGGGGTCCTATTGAGCATCTGTCAGCATTAGGTTTGTATCTGAGATAGTTTCTGTGGGGGAAGTTAACCCCATTTTCTTAGGTTCTGTGAATTTCTTATTCTGGTGCCAGCCATGGGTTTCTGCCACAATAAGGCCTTTCAATAGTTTTAATAGCTTACACTCTTATCTAATAGTTCTACCTATGTTCCTATTCAAACAAACTCCCAAGGTTTTAGTATAGTTTGTTTTGTATGTATTCTGAAAACTCGAAAGCTAGAGGGCATCAAAGACGTGATTTATATGAGTCTTCTCTTGTAACCAGTGTATCTTGTGTTTCTTTTTAAAAACTAAAAATTGAAAGATCACAGCTGTGTAAAGTTAATAAGGAAATATGCTAATAGAAAATTTTCCAGTGTCAGATGCTGACCAACACAGTTCTTGTTAAACTGCAGACGTCTTCCTTGCCTAACCCACAGTTATCTGGGGTGTGTTAGGGATGTGCTTTATCACTGAGCCACATCCCAAGCTCCACCAGACTCACTAGCCTTGTGTTTTATTGAGAAAACAAGAAAAGCTCCAGAGGGTTTTTTTTTCCCCCCCTGTGGTGTATAAGTATACCCAAAATGTTTTCTGCCTATCGAGTTAGATGAGGAGTTAAGAGTGGCTTGGCCTGAAACAAGTGGCAAGCTGAATAGAAATAGGAAGGCAGTTTAGAAGCCTGAGGTAAGGGTGCATCAAGGCAGTCTTCATAATGGCACTGCCATCTCCTTCTCTCTTGGTGCTGTGATAGCGTCTTGGTGTGAAGCCCAGGCTGACCTTGAATTCGTTCCCTTGCTGGAGCCCTCCAGGTGCCAGAAAAACACAGAAATGCTGCCAGACTCAGCATGGCTTCCATTTTGATTCTACACCACCATTCCCAAACCCTTTACTCTGAAGACATCAATGATTAGTCATCTCATCGTTTGAGCTTCATGTTCCCTTGTCATGAGGGTGAGATCCACCTTGGTTCGTCTGTGAGATACACAAACGTCAGGCGTGCAGACAGGAACTGCTGGACCAAGTCTACCTGGAGCGCATGGTTAATTCTGTCCTGTTTGTGATATCTGACAACTCTAATAGTAATACCGTTGAGTTCTTTTGGTAGAAGTTGTACATGTGCAGAATATTAGCAGACAACAGTTACAAAGTTTTGCAGGTAGCATATAAAACACAAGAAAAATATTTAAGAACACTAGTTTGAATTAACCAATGGACAGAGACGTGGGTGGTATTACTAACAGGTTCCAGTTCAGAGGACACCAGCTTGGGAAAGAGTCCTAAACTTTGTACCAAGAAGGCTTGTAGAATGCACGAGCATGTAAGGGAGCTACAGCATCACTGCAGGGAACTACACAGAGCCCTTACGTATTTCCTACTTTGGAAGCAAAACTTAGTCCTTGACTTAGTAGGATAATATATTTATAGCACTGATGAAAACCAAAACCTTAGGAGTCTTACACATTAGGGAACAGTGCTAGTGACACAAATATTTGCATATGTACAGGTAGCCTCCTATACAAGACCAAAATAAGACAAATAGATGTGGGGCAGGTTGACAAATAGCAGGACTATCCAAACGGCAGGTTCTCACTTCTCCCTCTTTCTTTCTCCCTCCCCCCCCCCCCCCCCAAATGGAACTAATTAAACAGAGCAGGGCTTTAAACATGTACTGGTCCTACATCTGTAATCTCATGGAAGCAAGAGAATAGAAGCTCTAAGTCACTCTCTGATACATAACACTTTTGAGGCCAGCCTAGTTAGGATATGTGAGATCCTGTCTCCAAAAAGAAAAAAAAAATCCATTGCCTGTTTTATGTGTTGAAAATCCAGACAGGCCTGTTATAAAATGGAGCATGGGCCACTGCATTCACTACATATCTTTAGTGAGGAAGGACGCTAAAAAAGAGACCCTACACTAGCTCAGAATTGAGTATAATAAAAGATTATTTAATTAGGGGTAGACACAGATCACAATCCTTTGCTGTAACGGGGAACAGCAACTGAATCCTGCAGCCAGAAAAGAGGCCGGACATGCACTTTACATGGGCATAAATAGTATAAGAGGCCACGCCCAAGTGGGTGGGTAACTTAAAGGCTACTGGCTGTAGGAGTTCCTACAGCAACTCTGAAAACTCCCATATAATATCAAGCTCAAATATGCATCTCTACACATTTCCACCACAGATATATATATATATAGTATTAGATGACATTAAATATCACCTAAAATGATTGTAAAGTAGCCATCTGGAAGACTTAAGCAAGTAACTTAAATGAACTTGATTTTTTTGTTGTTGTTTTCTTTTTTTTGAGACAGGGTTTCTCTGTGTAGCTTTGACTGTCCCGGAATGCACTCTGTAGACCAGGCTGGCCTTTCGAACTCACAGAGATACACCTGCCTCTGCCTCCTGAGTGCTGGGATTAAAGGTGTGCACCACCACCACCTGGCAGAATTTAGACTTTTAAGATAAGTTTACTAAGTCATCAAAACTCTGGCAAATTAGCACAAAACAGCAATTACTTTAATAAGTAATAAAGTCTTTTCTAAGATAATTCACTTGTATAAATGTTTCTTTTTTATTTATTTATTTATTAAAGATTTCTGTCTCTTCCCCTCCACCTTCTCCCATTTCCCTCCCCCTCCCCTAATCAACTCCCCCTCCCTCATCAGCCCAAAGAGCATTCAGGGTTCCCTGCCCTGTGGGAAGTCCAAGGACCACCCACCTCCTTCCAGGTCTAGTAAGGTGAGCATCCAAACAGCCTAGGCTCCCACAAAGCCAGTACGTGCAGTGCCATTGTTCTTGAGTTCTCAGCAGTCCTCATTGTCCACTATGTTCAGCGAGTCCGGTTTTATCCCATGCTTTTTCACTCTTGGGAATATACCCAAGAGAGCCCCATCATACAACAAAAGTATATGCTCAACTATGTTCATAGCAGCATTGTTTGTAATAGCCAGAACCTGGAAACAACCTAGATGCCCTTCAATTGTATAAATGTTTCTAAGAGCAGAATAATGTTTTAATGTTTTAAAGGCTACTTGCTTGAGACACAGAGTGAGTAGCTAGTTATACTGTACATGGAATCTTGACCTTAGGAAGTCTTTAGAGGGTTGAGAGAGAGATCAGTTGGTGCAGTAGTCATTCCCCTGCATCGCACAAATGGTAAAAAGTGCCATGCCTCTGTAATCCTAGCACTGTAATCCCAGCAGGAAGGTCAAGGTCATTTTTGGCTACTTAGCAAGTTTGAGATCAGCCTGTTTTGTTGTTTCTGTTTGTTTGTTTTAAATACCATAAATAAATTTGCATTTTGAAACATTTTACAAAAAATGTTGGGGGACTGGCAAGGTAAATATGCTTACCCCTACACCCCACCTCCTGAGTCTTGTCCTTAAAGCCCACATAATAGAAGGCAGGAACTGACTCCCACAATTGTCTTCTTTACACACGGCCTCCATACATAAATAAGAGTAAGACATTTTTTTAAAAGTAACAGTGGTCCCTCAGCAGAATAATGGATAAAGAAAATGTGGTTCATTCATACAATGGAGTTTCAGTAGTTAAAAAAAATACATCATGAAATGAGCAGGCAAATGGATAGAACTAGAAAACAATCATCCTGAGTGAGATAATGTAG